AAAAATTTAACCATACAAATTATGAAAGTTAAAATAATGCAATCATGTGGATGATACATGAGAATTAATATTTATAAAATACTTTATATATTAAGATAATAAAGGAATAATTTGCAAAACAAATATACCTTAAATCTAAAAGAATTAAATATAACATGTATAAATCGTCGATTAATTTTTTTTGTTTGGTCCCCTTTCATTTCTCTTTGGTCCAAATTGTTTAAATGCATTCAATATCAATATTTTTCACTCACGTGGATAGAGTTATTATAAAATTATTGAATTTTTTTGATATCGATATTTATTTATAAGATTGATTTTGAAGGTGGTGATGTTAAATTTTTTATATAAATTGATTGTCCTTCAATTTTTTTAATATTGGTTTTTAAATAAAAAACTAATATTTATAAAAAAAAAATTAAAAACTCAATGGGCGTCTCTCAATATTAATTGACTCACTATTTAATGTAGTAAATCCATTGGTTTTTACTTCGTTTTGATCATAACTATCGAGTGTTTGTGGATTTTGACTTACGATTTTGATATGTTATGAACATTGTTCCAAAGTATAATTTCTTCTCTTAGAAAAGATAATATATTTGTCAAGTTATTAATTTACTGTATTTTGACTTGTCCAAGTAAAAGTTCATTTTAAATTGATTTATTTTATGAGAAAATTTTACAAAATATTTTAATTTTTTGTTTGTTTGATATATGCCGTAATAAGATACTCTAAAAGTATATATGTTGATAATTTAACATATTACTTTTTAAAAATTAAAGTTGATAAGAGCTAAATGGATTAGAATATGAAACATTTTTCTTTCTCCTTAGATGAGTTGTTTCCACTATTATAGGATTTAATTTGACACCTATATTTTTTTGTCCTTTGGAATAAACATCAAAAAACATAAAGAATCTGTAGCAAATAAACAGATATACTAAAAGTAAGGTATTTCCAAGTTACATTGCAATGAAAAAAATAAAAGAAATATTGCATTTTAATTTTTTTTTAACCCCCCCCCCCCCCCCCCACACACACACTCATGTGTATTCTTCTAACCCTTATAATTGCTAAATATTCATTCAACAAGAAAATCAAGAGACTATTAGGACAAAATTTTGAACTATCAAAACTAATTTGAAATTCAAATGATCACCAAAAAAAAATAAAATCCATTTTGGTATGGAACTAGACTTTATCAATTGTAAAATAATTATCAATTCAAGCTTTAGACTAGAGATCTGCAAGAGCCTAACTTGCTTCCAATAGGATAATATATAATATAAATAAGTTGTAGTTTTTATATAATTATAATAATAGTAGAGAAAGGCATTTACAAAAATATATTTAGCACTTTGAGGGCATTACATAGAAAAATGTAATTTAACTTCAATATTTTTAACATAGATAAAATTTATTTGATGTATTCATATATTTTACTTCATTAAATCATAAAATTATGAAAATTTTGCATTATATACGCCAGGTATGGATAAGTCTTTAACATGTTGACTATAATTAATAATAATAAAAATTAAAGTATTTGCCTAAAAGATGTGAAAATATGTTAAATATAAAGGAAAAAAAGGAATAAAACATTTTTCATTCTTTGGTGGCTAAATTATAATTTTATCATTTTTCTCTCAATTTCTTTTTAGTTAATTGGTTACCTTATGTTGTTAAATAAATAAAAATCTAGAAAGTGACAAAAATAGTCCCTCATGTTTGAATCCATGTTTAAAATAGTCCTTTTAAGTATGAATTGAATACTTCTAGTAATTTTTAAGTTTGTTAAAAATTATTTTTTCTGTCTCAATTTATATAACACGTTTTTTTAGTTTATCAAAAAAAAAAAAGGACCAGAACTATTCTTTACATATTTTTAAAATTATTTTAAACACAGCCTCAGATATGATTATAAAAATATTAAAATTGCAACAATATGATAGGGTCAAAGAACATGGAAAATCAGCTTCACTTAATTAAAATCAAGTATTAAACATGTTTATTTTTTGACACTCTACAAAAGATCATTTAATTCCAGGCAAATTTATAAGTCATTTATTTATATATTCAAACATTCCAGGTGTATGAATTAAATAAACATCGACTTATCACCTACTCTTTTCATTCATTTTTATTTGTTCGTTTTAGATTTTACACATTCCTTAAAAATAATTGTAATTAATATGAGTAGTTTGTTATAATATTCACATTAATTTATATACAATCTTAAGTCTTGAGACATGATTTGAGGGTATAATAAAAAATAATAATTATTTTTTAATGCGTTAAAAATGATAGTTAAAAGTAAAAAAATTATTTTTATAAATAATGAACAAATAAAATTTAACGGGGAGCGAGTAAACATGTATACTATTTTTGTGTCAATTAGTCAATATTGTGTATATTGTGTTAGATATTTATGTGTCCTATGATTTAATGCCATGTGCTCTACTAATTAGTACTCAAAATTATCTATAAAAGAACAAGGGAACATAAATTAAGTGAGAGTATGAGATTATGACCCATCCTTTTTTATATTTGACAATTATACAATATAGTCAAAGAATATTTATATCTTAGGAGAAAAATAATCTCAAGACAAGAAAAAACAATTTTTTTAGTCATTAATTTTAAACACAAAGAAAGAGATGCATCATACAATTCAAAATAGTGATTGATGATGATTTAATCTAGATAAATTGACTGGTCTAGAAGAATTAATGCAATAGATATAGTCCAATGTCTTTAATGATATATATATTGCTAAAAACTTAGTTGGAAATTGTCCAACTAATAGTATAATGCCTTTGGATGGATGGCTTTTACAATTTCGTTATCATATTTATAAGCTTTAATTTGGTTCCAATGCTAAATATACTTGTCTACTTATGTGACCCCCCACCCCCTAGACACACCCCATACCAAAAAGTGTATAGTCCCCCACATTACTCTTAAGTTCCTCACATCACAAGAGGGTTCAAGTAAAAAAAATTTAAAAATAGAATTTGTTTATCTTAAAAATAAAATAATTACCTACTATAACAGATAAAGATAACTTGTCGGAACAAAGAAACTAGAACAAAAAATACAAAAAACATGTTGGGACTTAGCACATTGAAAAGGATTTACGTCTTTTATATAAAAAGGATTCATAATTTATTTACATGAGAAATTAAAGTCTCAAGGAGGTATATCATAGCTAGGGAAAATAGAAATAGAGTAAGTGT